AAATTTCCGACGAGCATCCCCGTCTGTTTCATATGGGAGTCCCCCCCCCCGGGATCCTGACCCTGTTTAAGACAAAAATCATTTCATTTCGCTACCCTGTTTAACACAAGAGGCCTTATTTCATGACAACCGGATTTCGCATACAGCAGTAAGTAATTTTTTAAACCAATATCTTGGAATTATCATTGGAAAAAATAGTTGGTACCGGATCATTGATATTACCTTCACACTTTTTTTAAAGCCTGTCCGTCCAAAAAGACAACCTGGTCAAGGCGCTTAATAGTAAAATTTAAAACTCACAAGACCCTGAAAGCCGCTATACCCTGTTTAGCGGCACGTTCCCGTTTAGGGAAAATATGGGAATGCCCCTACCCCCCCGTGGGAAGGGAGGAGACGAAATTCTTAATAGTGATCGCCTTCCTTTTTCGTCCTTTTCCTTTGCTAATAATTGCTGTTTTTAAAGTATTGTTTCCTTTAAGAGAGAACTATATAAGTGTACAGATGACATCCCTAGCTGTGGATCCCTTTCCCCTATTTGCGTGACTTGACACGGGTAAACAGTTTAAGGCTGCCACGAAAATCGTACCGGATAGGAGGGCTTCTGTTCACGAAGAAGGGTGATTTCAACGCGTGGTCTGCGAGGCTTTGAAGGTTAGAGAGAATTCAGGAATTGTGTGTAAACGAAATCAGCATGCTGTACTCTTGTGCCGTTTCATCATTGTCGGTTTCTCATCAGCGATGAAAATATATCCAGCCGGATTTTTAAAAACGTGGTTACCGCCGAATAGACCTCTTCCGTCAAACCATAGCCAAAAAGTAGCTAATATAAAAACTAAGACTGCTTCCATTGCTGTATCTCTTCCCTTCCTTTCTTCCTCCTCGTTCCTTCCTTTGCTAGTATGACTTTTGAGCTTATCGGGCGCAGAAAACCTGCCTTTTGGGCCTTTTCCTCTCAAATGGCTGCAAATTTCGTTAGGTTCGTTGTCAAAAAATCGACTGGAAATACTATCTGCAAAAGACTGAAGTGTTGGAAAAAGACACTTCTTCTGGTCCGTTATGGCTGCTTATCCGGAAAAAGATTTATCAAAAGTAACCGCCGGGATTGTAGGTTTCTAAATTCTTCAGTGCACGAGAGAGGTTTCAAAAAGCAATTGTAAACCTTATATTTAGGACATAAGGCCAGTTTCAATATCAATCGCTAAATAAGTTAATTAATTGACGTAGTAATTCTATAACGTTTCCGCCATGCCAAACGTGTCGAGCGGACAGGCTCCCTCGATCTTTCAACCCCGCAGAGGGGTTAGCGCTCACTTTTGGTAGAAATAGTGTAGACGCAGTATTTTTGCAACAAAAAGCTTTCTTGACTTATCTACTGCTATACTGGCAGGAAGCTTTTTACCGCACTATTTAAACCTATTATTACTGTATAACTCTGAAGTATGGGGGGGAGGGGGAAATTGACTAACTGAAGTGGATTAATGGGAACATGACCGACATGACCCTAAGGGAAGACTACTATATTCTCCCAATTCTATAAATTCTTTCTTGGTTTAAATATAAACGAGCTTCTAATGTTTGTTGCGGTAGATTGATTCAATATCCTAGGCAACTCAGCTGGAAAAACTATAATCTGATATATTTCTCATGTGGAATGTTTGTTTCGTAGTTCTTTCCTCTACGTAAAATTTCCGGCAAAATATTTGCTTTGGCATGCGTACTGTAATTATAGTCTCTATGAAAGCAGTATACTTCCTCATGAGTATATAAAAAGAATTGGCAAATACAGGGAAACACTCCTCCATCTCTTCCGCAAATCAAATTTGTTCCCAGTTCAACAAAAAAGGGTCAAAAGCGACTAAACTCGACAAATAGGTAAATTAGAGATAACTGACTAAAAATATCATTGAAGTATAAAGTAAAACCAAATCAATTCCATCCAGCTATCTTTTTCTGAAGAAAGACACTGATGGAAATCAGTCTTTTTACCTATCTAGACTTTATGAAAAAAAACTCAAACCACTGATGAGCGACGGCAAAATTAAGAACAAATAACCATAAACTAATAATAGAATATGGAGGATACTGCTCAACCAAAATGCCTGAACATTTTATATATGAGAATATGCAAATATTGTTCTCTTAGTGAAATGGAGGACGGGAAACACTTCATACTCTCTTTATTGTTTCCTTTATCTTAAAGAACAACGCTTTGTGTTTTATCCTATAGGTAACAAATATCGATCCTCATTTGAATCACTCTTTGATCTGTGAACTGATATGATACTCTTCCTCTTAACAGCGGAGCTCCACGCGCGCTCGAAGGGCTCGCAATAGACCTTTTTACCGATACGGCGGCCATATTGAATTAACTCGATTCAAGGGATATATAGGATGCCCAGGAGGCATGAGCCCATTTCGTTTGTATTTTCAAGCGCTTTTCGGGACATTTTTTCTTAAAGTTTTCTTAGAATGAGATTGTAAAAGGAAAAAAAATCCTTGTGCCGTGTTTGGATGTAATAATGATCGCCTTTTTCTAGTTTAGTATTAGAAATATGGTCTTTCACTGTATATTTCTCGGGAAAAAGGATGATACATGGTCCATAACAGGTAACAAGTAGCAGAAGTAGATCATTTAGATCATGTAGATCATATAACTAGAAATTTGCTACGTAAGTATTGTAAACCTCTCTGATTTCAGTGGTACCTTTAATCTGCACTTCGATTGCTTTCAGGGATAGGGGCATTGTTATGTGACAATCCCCATTGTTTTCCCAGCTAATCACAAACAATCTTTCAAATAGGTGCGGGATCGCCCCCTTCATTGTAATTATCTCCTCTTTTAAACAAATGTAACGAGTATTGTAATCGGCAGTGCCATCTATTCATATGAAAATGCAAAAACTATTGAATTGAATTAGTTTGTGGCGGTAAATTGATTCAACATTCTGGCAACTCAGCTGATCAATCTATAATCCTGATATATTTTTCAGATGGAATGTTTAACTCGCACTGCTCTCCTCTACTAAAATTTCCGGCAAAATATTTGCCTGCACGTACAGTACATTGTAGTACTTTCTTTGAGTGGCCTGTTGCGTGAAATGACGCGTACGACTCGGTGAAATATACAAAATTCTAATTTTAACACTTGACAGGTGATATAAAAGGTCAGCAATGAGTTAGCAGTTCATTGAACTTCAGCGGCTGTTGTGTTGACGTTGTGCACTCAGAGTATAAGATTCGACTGAAACATTCTGCATAAATGTCTGGCTACAAGTTGTTCTACTTTCCAGGCCGCGCTGTAGGAGAAAAATGTCGACTTGCATTCGCGGCTGCAAAGATTGACTACGAGGACATTCGAGTCCCAGTCGAAGAATGGGCAAAAGAGAAAGCGTGTAAGTAACATAAAAGTTCACCACATTGCATTACATCGCGCGACGAATATTTGTCGATTCTTTTTAATTCTGTAATCTTAAATAGCTGTTTAAAAAGGAATGCGATCAAAGCCGACGGCAAATACGCGTACATTCGCTTGATTTTCGATCGGGTTTAAGGTCTCGGTAAAGGAAAACGAGGTGCCCACAGAGAAAAATTCTAGTCGCGCGAGTATTTTCGCTACAAAGGCAAGTTATATATCAAATTAAAGCTGAAAGACTAAATTACCTTATAAAATATTTTATTTCATCGAATTTCAAAAGGCGCTTAAGTTTTTTGCTCTCGAACTCAGAGGTATCGAGTTTACTGCTGAAGCTCCAGCCCTTTCGCGTTGTTAAATATTCACTTTCTTTTTATTGCATCTGATTGACAGATAAAAGACCTAAAAAAGGGTGTGAGGAAATTTGCATATGTCTCGTATTAGGGGAATTATTACATTTCAAACTAAAAAGTCGAATCTCGAGCGCGATTTACGCAAAGAAACTGACATAAAATGAGTTACAAAGGGAAATCGGAAAATTCCTCACACCCTTTTTGAGTCTATATCATTATCCATCATATCTGAAAGTTTCAAAGCGATAGCTTAAAACCTGTCCCGACTCGAGGTCGGAGAATTTTGATTTTTTCGTCTAAAATAGAGTGAGAGAAAATCAGCTCTAAAGATTTAGCGCGAGGTCCACGCTTGGCTGGTTAGCTCAGAAAAGGCTCATTTTAGAAGGGTTAAAAAGCACTTTCTGATTTTCTTTTTCTGCCAAAATAAAATTTAGGATCCACTCATGCCAAAAATCCAAAAAAAACAAAATCGAGCAATGTACTAAAATTTTCATTTACCGAGACCTTAAAGATTTTAATGTTGCTTAGTCAGGCTGGCAAGTGTGCTCACTCTTTTTGATGGTTTTCGCCGACCACAAGTGTGTACCATTAGTTTTATTATTATTATTATTATCTCTTTTATCACAGTCTTTGCTGGTGTTCTTTTTGTGCATTAGCCGGGCGCAAACCATGCGCCTAGAGCGTCAGTCACCCAAGTCAATCATTCTGTTCATACACTGAGCACCTTTCTGAGGATTCGCGCAGATCCCAGCATGCAGATCTTTTGAATCTCTGTCGTAGTAGCTCTCTCTGATACTTTCTTGATGTTTTCTACCATACCCTTCTTCACTGTACCAAGCGCACCAACAACCACAGCGATCACTACGGTTTTCAAGTGCCACATTGTCTGTATTTCTAGTTCTAGGTCTTTATTATTATTATTATTATTATTATTATTATTATTATTATTAACCCTACGTTTTTTAGGTTTCGTAGACTGCTACGAAAGAAAGTTGGTCTTTAAATCATAAGAGTTACATTTTTCAAATCGACGAGCTCCTGTAATCTACATTTCTTATAGCTTCTGTGGCGGGAAAGTTACTCGTTTTCCGGGAATGAGCCTGGCTTTGTATGTAAAATAATTTCAACTTACAATTCAAATATTCTCCTGGTTTTTAATACTTCACCCGGTTGGTATTGTAACTTTAGACCTTCTGATTGTATTCTCATCGCATGAACTGAAGGATCAGAATATA